TATTCTTTACATGCATTCAGCAGGCATGAATTGTCGTTGCTAAATAACACATTGTGGTAGAAGAGCGGTTAATCCAGCGGCTGGGAGTCAAGTCTTTTTTACACGCAAGACTGCATACTTTGTCAGATGTTTCAGGCGCTTCGCACTACTTTGAATTTTAATACTGAAGGGGAGGAAGTCAGTGGTGTCGTAGTTCTGCTCACCAACACAGCGTAAAAGCGATGGCCAACCCGAATCATCAACTAACTGGGCGAGGAGGTGTAGAGGGAAGGACAGTGGGGAACGTTTGGATATGACAGCATATAAATGTAACATGTGAAACTGGTGCTTTCGCAAAGATGGTTATTGTCCATCTTATGCTTTTACTTTATCAAAATGCGAAAAGTTTCTCTGCTCTGAAATACTTCTTAGCAGTTGGATAGTACTTGCGCTTTTGTTTGTTACCAGGCGTTCCGGCACCAATCATCAAATGGATGAAAGATGGCGGCGATTCATTTCCAGCGGCGATTGAACGACGTCTACAGGTGAAAGCGAACGATGATAATTTGTATGTGGTAAATGTGTCACTAGCAGATACTGGTATTTATACGTGCCGTGTTAGTAATGAAGCTGGACACGTTGAGAGTTCGGCACATATTCTTGTCTATGGTAATCACTCTTTGCGTTCTTTTCTGATTAACATTATTGCAAAGAGTTGTGCAGGGCTTTAACGCTCTGCATATCAGCGCGAGAAGACTGCGCTAGCAGTTGAAATTTATCCTTGTGACTTGGCCCAACAGTTTTTATGAGTTCAAAATTAAGTGTTTTTGTTGTTGCTTTTTGTCTTCGTGAGTTATCAGTAAACGATGCATAGAATTTCATGTTGCAGACAACAAATTCTGGCCGCAGCTTGAGGATCGCAAGGTGCACTCTGGAGCAACCGTTATTTTTAACTGTTCAGTTAATGAACAGTTTCATGTATCAGTGCAGTGGCTGCGAGATGGCCGTCTTATTGATCCAGATACTGCTCCCTCACGTTTTGCTTTCAAAGCAGGCAATCAGTTGCTTGTATTAAGTGAGGTACGCGATTACACAGCGCTTTCAACAAAGACAACTTTAAATTCCTGCGCTTCCGAATTTTTTTTTTTGTTTGGGGAGGGGGGGGGGGGGGGGGGGGGGGGGGG